AATTTCTCGTTTACGCTGCTTCACTATTTTGCAGGAGGCATGCGCTCTAAATCCTTTACAAGGACGTCTGCGTGGATCTGATAACCGACGTCAATCAAGCTCTACAGGGCTTCCGGGCACGAACTAAGTGATTTAACTTATTGTACACACTTCTGAAACACTGGGTGATAATTTAATGAGTGTGCTGTACGAGAACCTGACTGCCTACAAAATGTCACTGACAGAATTACTGTATTTCATTATAATGTTTGGTGAATATAGGAGCTGGCGGACCTGCACTTGGCAATCCAGGATTTACACACGAGACACAAGAACTATAGGGGACACAAGACGAGGGCTGAGAGGTGTTACATAAAAGTTAGCAAATTGATTTCACTGAGGCGTCAACAACCTTCCTGAGTCCCCTCTTGTTATTGTTTTGAATTTCGCACAGTTTCTGCTATACAGTTAACAACAAAATGACTTCTCAAGAAAAGAAGAACAAAAGGTACTCAAGTTAGGAGGGAGCATGACGCTGCGGTAATGTTCTACGGACGCACGCGCGCAAGTAGCCAGCTCCTACTGCGAGTAAAGTCCCCAGATAAGAGCTTCTTACGAGTGGCGACATTCTTTGAAGCACCGACTGCGTGACGGTGCAGGTTTTAGGAAGCGAATGGCGGCGCACAGCAGAAGACTGAACGGAATGACGCCATTTTGTTCCAGCGGAATGTGCTGTGTCATTTGTATTGGTTGTCGTTACTTGTAAAAGAAGTATCAAGAGACTTCAGTTGCGAGCGGCGTCAACGTCACCTAGAATAATTAAAGCGTCCGCATCGCCTCCTCTCCCTTCATGAAACGTCATCACAGTCTCATCTCGTGCTAACTCGGCTATTGGGCCCGAGTCTGACCATCGACGCGCGGATTGAACACGAGCCCAAGCCGAACACTGACGCAGCACTCGTGCCCAATCTCAGGCCTCGATCGATCTGACTGTGATGTCGGTGCGGAGGCCTTCTGCTTAGCTAGGTGGTGATGGCAGCGTGCTCCCTCACACGGCTCATGCCGAGCTATCGAAGGTGGCTGTGACGGAACTTTTCCAACGTACCACCAATGCAGCATAGAAGCTTGGGCTGTGCTGGGCGAGGGTCAGATACATTGGAGTAGGACACACACCCTCGCAGCCTCCTACACTCCAACCCGCAATCTAATCAGTTTCAAGAGACTTCCAGGAGGCGCTGAATGTACCGAAGGCCACGCGCTTCGCTGTTCGCATATCAATTGAACTCGATACTACCGACTTTTGAAATATTAATTAACTGATAAGCGTTTGGTGTTTTTTCGCCCGTTTTAAGAATTGCACCCAAAAAGAGCGCCTCAAGCCAACTCAAGCCCTGCCCACAATGACGCTTGGAGGAGTGACGTCTTGTTTCAATTATGTTGTCACTATCTCGGCAGTGTGTCCTTGGAGGGCGTGCCGACGACACAAGGGACGTCGTGACTTCAACGACTACGTCACTCTTCCCAGCGTCATTGTGCGTCATTAAACTTGATGCACTCGTTTTGCGGTCCATTTCTAAATTGGGCGAAGAACATGAAAATGAATCGGTTAATATGTAAAGAAATATTAACATTCTAAATTTTTTTTAAATTAATCCGGCCTCTTTTAATATACACCGTTTACACTGCAATTTCAGCATGTCACCTGAAACAAATAATTGAAGAAATCCATATTCAAATCTTAGTTAATTGGTCAACTTAGCAAGACGATTATCCCTTCATCTAATGTCCGCCTAGCCGGAGAAGTACATGGCAAAAACGGCACTAGACTAACTCTCAACTTTTTTAAAGAAGAAACGCAAAACGGGTTGAATGGAAATTACACACCACTGTATATTGCATTACGCGCTTTGCACGCGATACGTAAACGTTCAGAAGGGGCTGCTGAATTATCTTAGCTAGTGCCGAAGTGTAACCTCTACGCATTTAAAACTGTTCGGCTATATTTCACACCCTAAATCTAAGTAACTATGCAAAGCGAAAAAGACCATGCCCATAATTTTAATTTAAATAGTTACTTTAGTCAAGGTATACATTTTGGGCAGTCGACATGCAGCCATATAGGTTTCATGTATTGATTATTTCACCCGGTTCGTATAATGGTTTTGATCGCTATAATTTCTGTTAAACTATATCTACTCTTTACGCGTGCTCTGTGTAGCAGCTTACATACTACTCCTTTTTGTGTTTGTATTTTGTGCTGCTGGGGCTTTGTGCTGATTGGGGGATAAGAAGCTTCCTGGGGCTGTAACACTGAAGCTTTTTTCTGGCCCCCCTTCACCACAATTATGCAACTTAGTGTAAACAAATGGACCTTTATTGTAAAAAAAAAAAAAAGAAAAAAAAAAAAAGAACTGAAAACAATCCCAAAATGTATTTTGTGATTCAGAGCGGAAGCTGTTGTGTTTGTTGAAATATGTGCTTTAGGAGATTTGCTTTTAGTCAACGGGCTTCAGAATATTCTCTTTTGGTGGTTTGCTTATTGTGCAATTGTGGAGTAGATGTGCTTTGGGAGAATACCGCTGTCGCACAGTGCTCTTGTGCGACGTACGTTTTGCGGACAAATAGCAGGGATGTGTCTTTTGCTTGAAATACTCTGATAGAACAAGGATTTGATTAATTACTTCTCTTGAGCGAAATCCGGGGTACGGTATTTTTCTCAAGAGAATTTCTGAAACTTTGTCATCTTGTTCTCAAACTTTGGCATACTTCCTGTAGACACGCCGGAGGATCTCCCAAAACCAACCCCGAAGCGGTTCGCGGCGGTGGAGGGGGGGGGGGGGGGGGGGGGGGGCGACGAGAGTGAAGAGGAGCGGCAGCGCGTCTTGCCATAGATGACGTGGTTGTGCGAGGGACGCCGCGTCGCGTTATCCCGCGACGAGGCTTCATCTGATCACGTCGACCTTTGAGTACCGACGGAACCGAATTTCGCTGAAAAAAGTCTCTAAGAACTTTGTAAAACGAACGACATAACACAGCTCGTACACATGAGCACGATGCTCAGTTTTAAATAACAAAATGTTCTTGTTTGTACATTTCTAGGCAGAGGCCCATTACTTGCAAACAAATCCCGAATAAAACAGACGCTGGAAGAAATTACCGGGCTAGGAACCTCCAGAAAAACTCAAAACTTTATGTGATCTTGTGCAACGCTTCTATAAACACTCTCGCTGCTGAAGATATTGACGCTTCTCACTGATACGGGTTTAGACACGCTGTTTCTGAGTAATATGTAATTTCACTGTTCTTGCAGAACTACCAAGGCATCAACTGTTCATAAGCACAATAACTAAACTTATGAATGAATAGATGAATGTATCCTCCCTCTAATAACAGCCAGTAATAACATTTCGGTTATTAACTTAAAGATGATTTCTCACTTCTGGGTGAGGTGGAACATGTAACGCGTTGGAATAAAGAAACCCTGCGCTTTCTGAACCGAGTGCTTAACCGTTTGCTCTATTTATCAGATTATTAGAGAACAACAATGACCACTCTACCCTTAAGCAACGCCTATCAGCACGGAGCAGGCAGCGTCCCGGACAAAGGCACGGATTAGCAGGCACAAAAGTTTAGATGGGCACCCGAAGCCTTTGATCCAGGCTTGGCCAGAAATAGAGGTGCACGGGGGCTCTGAGATTAGCTTGAACAAAGATTAATCTATTCTTCGGTTCACTTTGCGAAGAACCGCAACGCGCGCTACGAACAACCCGGGCCAATCTGTGGACCAGGAAGTGTCACGTGGTGCTCTGGTTAGGAGGAGCGACGCGCGGAACGTGTAGTCACGTGGCACGCAAAGAGTTCTAGATTGGCTGAAGTGGCCACTTAACGTCCGGTGTGGCACATCGTCGAGTGAAGCGGAATAAGAAACCTCCTGGCGGATTTCGGCAGGGAAAGAGAACCGTAGATCGATCAGAGCCGAAGACTTCCTATGTACGTGTTGCACGTGAAAGTTAGGTCGAACTTCACTTAAACCGCGCATGCGACCATCCGTTTTCTGTTTCGAAAGTTATGAGCTCGAAGGCGTGGTAGCGTATCAGTGATATTCGATCATAAATAAAGAGAGACTTGACGCTGCAATGAAATTTGCTTGTATGTACGATCACTGACAATATGAGCTGAAACAGTCCTTCGCGCTTTTCTTTTTGGCGTATCCGCGAGTTTTTTTAGAGAGCTGTGGTCCGAACTGGTATGGAATGCAAAGATGGGGGCTCCTACTTTGGGCTATTGGCCATATTGAGATATAATAAAGCTTGTAGACTGCAGAGGGAAAAAACGTTCAGATCGGGTGTTTCAGCTCAAACTATCCGGGGGGGGGGGGGGGGGGGGGGGTGTTCGGGACTCTGCGAGATGTATTCTACAATCATAATTATTGAGAGCCCTCAGAAATAATTAAAAGTATACTTTTACCTTTCTTATCTCAAGACTGTTCATTATAAGGGACAGTCTCGAGGTCCTGTGTAATTGTGTTCGATCAACACCACATTGTTTGCGAACTTACCTTTAGCTCATCGTATTCTACGGTATTTATACGCTTGCCTCACCTGAGGACAATTGAGGCAAGCGCATTTAAAACACTAGAGTGTCAAAGCTCTTTAAAATAATGCGGTATAAAAGGCTGCCGAAAAAAAATGAATATGAAAAACGCAACACCTACTCGCAAGCATCTATTAGAAAGTTTCAGTAGATCGTTCCGTTAAATCCAATAACGATAACTGATGCTCCGCCGATGAATTACTCAATTGTATTGTCATCGGGTATCGTTATCGCAGTTATCAAAACGATTTACTAAAATTCCCTGTTAACTTCCTGCCTGACTGTTAGTTGAATGACTGATTGTAAAAGTTCATCAGCGAGAGAATGAGCAGCGAAGGCAATATAAATGTGATCCTTTGTCTGGCCCGCTATTTGCTTCGTTTGTAGCAGTTGCTGACATAATATACTAAAAGAAAAACTTGAACAACTTCATGCCAATACTAACGAGGACGAACATTTATTTTTAAATTAGGCAAGATGAAAGCACAAAATAAGAAGATGTAAAGCACTAAAACATATAAAAACATCAAAGAAAACACGGAGTGACCGAAGAACTGACAAAACGGCGAAGCTCTTAAAACCGGGACATAACGTGCTTTTTCTCTCACAAGGGCCATTCGGAAGTACCACAACTTTACAAGGAGAGCTTTGCAAGACGGCGGGATGAGACAGGAACGGAACATCGCCGCCTGCTGCAATTGGTCAGCTCCCCGCCGCTGACCAATCGCAGCAGACGGTGATGTTCCGGTCCCGTCTCGTCCAGCCGTCTTGCATAGACTTCCAGGTGTTCATCTTTGATACCTTGCGTTGCCACACAGTACCAGTTACAGAAGACATTCTTCAACAATATCTGTCAAATACTATGCTACACAGTGTGGTGCCTGATAGGCGGTCGATGCGGTAACATCTGTTACGACCTTCATCACTGCACTGCGTGCTGGTTTGCTGACCAAGACCACCGCTCACATATACCAGAAAGTTATCCTCACGTAGATTGACTATTCCGCCTTGACTGAGCTTAAGGACATATAAAAATATGCCTTCCAATATAGATATAAAAGGAGGCAATCAGGGCTTGATACATTGTACTTAATATTATGTTAATTCCGGACGGTGGGAGCAATCAAATAGCGTCCTTGGTTCACCAACATGGTGTTAGTCATGTTTCTCTGTGTTGTATTATACCTGAACCAATCACGCATAGGGAAGGCCCAGTGCCATGCACTTTTGGTGCTCTTTACCGGGTCCCATCAACTTGTAGCGCCAGATGCTTTTCTTCTTCGATGCGGTTATCTAGAATAACAGAAAATGCACGAGCCTCGATATCGCGATATGATTTTTCTGCTCTCAACTTCAGTGAAGCCTGCCTGTGCTTTTTCCATGGATGGCTTGGTTGACAGAGCTTGGCGAGCTTCTCTTTGTGATACAGGTTAAACGGCACTACGGGGTTTTCGCTAGGTGGAAAGTGAATGAAGGCTGTACTACCGCACCCTATGCCACTAAAACGCACAATTTCTGAACTTGAAAACTATAGTGACACCTGAACCCCCAGTTCGAACTTGACGGGGATACAGGACCGTCGCAATATTTGAAACGCATTCCTTAAACGGAACATTCAGAAAAGCCCATACCACGCATTTCGATGCAAAGTGTTCCGTAGAAAATATGTCATTTTTACGTATAGAGTGAACGCCGCAATGTCACATAGGGAAGCGAGTGTTAGGCGACTCCAGATTGGATCGACGAAGTTGTAGAAAAAGTTTGTAAGCCGCAATGAACCAATAGCTCCCAGATAACAAGAGATTAGGACTGGGGTTTCTTTGTCAACTGTCAAAGGCCCGCGAAGGACACAGATTGGGACGAGCGCTTCTTTAGCGTTCGGATGAGGCTTTGGTTCAACCAGTGAGAATACGATTCTGGCCGAGATCTGATGCAACACACGAGCCCAATTTATGTGCCGCGCTGGCCTCTTGTAAATGACGTAGACAAATAGATCAGCGGCCTTGTCACATCGCAGGCGATGAATGAGCGCGTCTCAGTTATTCACAAGAATGCCCATGATTGAAGACCTGTTACAGACAGTGGATTATACAGACGTATCCGTTGTAAAAAAATTGCCACACTCTGGATGATGGCCTTGCATACAGGGTGGCGTCACTATACTATACATAATCAAGAGACTCCTTCCCACCATCGGCAAGTCATGCCTCCGGCGCAGTTCTTTACAAACTGGTGGTGTTTGACCAGCGAATGCACCGCACGTTGTCCGGATGACAAGGCCGACGTCACGTGACATATGTGGACCTGCCGATGCTGACGCTGGTTGTCCTGGTACGGCTCAGTCTCGTCGTACCACGCGCCACAAACTGGGACCGGTTGGGCCGAAGGCAGCCCAGAAGGGCGTCCTTGAAGCTGTTGCGGAAGCTCTTGGACATGAAGCCGTAGACCAGAGGGTTCACGCAGCTGTTCATGTACGAGAGCAGGTGGAACGTCGTCCGGAGGGGCTTCAGGTAGCTGTAGTTGAGTGTCGTTACGCCACCGAACGCCGTCAGGACGTTCAGGATCAAGATGGGGGCCCAGCAGATGACGAACAGGGCCACGACGAGGATGAGCATCTTGATGACCTGAGTGCAGAACAGTCATCAACTTCATAAAGGCTGAAACCTGTTAAATGAAACGTAAACGTAGATAATATTAACGGACAATATGTGTAGAGACTTTATGCTCAGACATCAGGGTTCAAGGGGACATCAGGAATGTAAGCACGAGAACGGGTGGGGAGGTAGATTTGGAACTGAACACTTGTGACAGGGTGCATATGTTTAGTTGCCACATTATATAAAACGCTTCTTAATGCTTTATAAGGTTTGTAAAAGAAGAGTCGGGTAATCTGTGCTAGTTCGATCTGTGCAGGTGATTTACACGGCAAGAGGGGCATAATACAGGGGGACAAGCGTCACGGTAACTCAGTTGATTAGCTAAAATTTGTGCATTAACGTCCTAATTATTGAAATTAAAGATGCAGTTTTCATCAGAAACGTGTTGAGCGTTATCGAAAACCACCGAGTAGGTAAATTTTAGAAAGATTTCGGGTGCGTGGGAAGCGTAGTGGTGAGCCAGCGTTACCACTCGTGCAATACGTGCATGGCTGCATGATGGTGCGAAGACGCGTGCCCGCGCCGTTTCTTAATCTCTTATCCGCATTTTCGATCCAGAATTGTGGTCGCTTCTTTCTTACAATATTTGGGGTCCAAAATCTGAGACCGTCCCGAAAACTCTGCTCCTTCGTAAGCGGTTCATGTACAGTTACATTAACCGAGCCGATTGAACCAGCACCAAACGTGCATCGTCAGGGCTCTCGTCTTTGTGCGTTTCTGATATCCCAGGTTATGCTAATCGCGCACAGTAGATGTTCCATGACCTAGCGTTTTATTTTCTGCATGATCGGTTAAGCCGGCTACGAGAAACGCACAAGGGCGACGAACGCCGTGAGAATGCGTCTTTGGCAACCGTTGATTGACTAGATTAAAGTCCCTAGATAAGGGGTTCCTACGAGTGGCGACATTTTTTGAAGCGCCGACTGCGTGGCGGTGCAGATTTTAGGAAGGGAATAACGGCGAACAGCAGAAGAGTAGGAGAACGACGCCATTTTGTTGATACGGAATTCGCTTCTTCATTCGATTAGGTGTCGTTACTTGTAAAAACAAGCATCATGGGTCTTTAGACTAGACTGGCTCGCAGTGCCGGCTGCGGCGGGATGTAATCTGAAACAGAGTACAACCGAGAGTGACCCCAATACCACGACAGGAAATACCCGTATTGACTTCCAAGAGGAAGTACCACCGAGCTCCGCCAAGAGGTTCCGCAGCCTCATCGCGGCACACGCTCCACTGTTTGTATTTATTTTGACCATGACTGTATCCTTCACCAACACTGTCACCTAACTGAAAACTCTTTCCCCAAAAAGCAGGACATATCCCGTAATTAACAATTGTATAGTCTGAAAAGGGGTATCAAGTTTTATATTCAATTGGAAACGTGATTCCCAGATAATGTAGCTATATGTCGATCCTGATTTACTACATGGCATTTTTTTTATTTTGAAAGGTTGCCAATTATAATAGTTTTGTTGTTTCAATACCAGCTGTTGTAAAAGCGTAAAAATTCACATATTTACTCTCAACTCGGCCACAGACTACTTACCGACAGGGTCGAGCGCTTTGCTATAATGTACCTCATTAACTTTGCGAATATCAAAATCGTGCAGACACAACTGATTCATGGCAAAGTTATGGCTGCAGCGTATTTTGTGTACATTGCGTAGCCAAGTGGCCGCGTTCGCTTACCTGCCTAACTGTGTCCTCGTCGGCTCGCGACGGTTTGGCAGTCCTGTGCTCCCCGTTGCTGGAAAACGTGGCAACCAGCTCCTTCTTTGCTCCCGTGCCGGTCTTCTCCGTCATCTCGGTGGAAACCCTGCGGAGTCAGAATCTCGCCCTGAGAATCACTGGGTCCATCACTTAATTGACATCACAATTGAGCAACTCGGGTTTTCCTACATCACTAAGGCTCAGTTCCAGAAAATGAACCGAAGACAAACAATTCCTCCTGAAACGAAGTGACGGCCATTCTGCTCATTTTGCCTTCGTATAAAAAGACATCAAGGAATATTGATCCATTTCATAAAAAAAGTATACATGTAGAACCGACACTACTGTTTTGTGTCATTGAAGCGAAACTACATCTGTGACTCCAAAACCTTCTCGTGTAAAAGAGCAGTCACATTTGAAAATCAGGACGAGAAAGCTAGGAAAAACTTCGACTAAGTTTTTAATCGTGACAATCGGCGCTGCAAAGTGAACCAAATCGTACTGGGGCCGTGAACTCGTCAAACACAAAGTTGGTGGCGCAAGTTTGCGAAGCGCGCCGATCGAACGCCGGCGGCAAAAGCGCCATGTCATCGTCGTGATAGTCCAATCGATGCGCTCCATCAACTTCGGCCCCAACTTTGTGTTTGACGAGTTTAGAGCCCCTGGGGCACTAAACTCGTCAAACACAAAGTTTGGGCCGAAGTTGACGGAGCGCGCCGATTGGACAGTCACGACGATGGCTTCGCGCTTTTGTCGCCGACGTCCAATCAGCGCGCTCTGCGAACTTTCGGCTTCAGCTTTGTGTTTGACGAGTTTAGGGCCCCAGGCCTGTTTTTAGAGTCAGTCACAGGTTGAGAAATGTGAGGCCTGGCTTGATGTGTTCGCTCTTATCACCTCGTGAGTCATTCTTCGGCGTCTTTTTCGGCAAGTACCTCAACCTCATTGGCTGCGACGCGAAAATATTATAATCGGGACTCGCCGCACCCTACATTTCTTAAACTGTCAGCGGCTACAGCAACACCTGTTAGTAGATCATGTACGCGTTTAGCCAATTTCCGCTATGCTTACAATAATCCGCATTATTCAGTGTTCGTGAGTTTTAGAAAAATGTATTAAAGAACGAGCAATTTCACAAAGCTATGTTGAGACGCAGTCACTGTCGTGCTGAGCTTATCACTTTGCTCCTGCTAACGAGCCTTCAAAATGATAGCTCTCACTAATATTAAAGGGGGCATAATTTTTGTTAACGCGTACAGCCTACAAAGAAGATAGCATCACCGACACTTTATTAGTCTTGTTTGCTGACTTTTTTTTTTCTCCCGCGAGCAGTTGGACACATGCACGTGCCGCTTGAATGCCGCTAAGACAGTTTCTGTACTGAAGCATGCGTAAAAAGGGATTATAATTTGACGATGAGGAATAATCCGCTTATCCAGGATCGGTGACGGGAAAATTGCAGGCGAAGTGCCATAAGCAAATGAGCCTCAAACTGGCAAAAAAAAAAAAAAAAAGCCAGAACAAAAAATACTTTAAGCTATATCAAAATTGCAGCAACATCGAACGTGTTACTGGACACATCCGTTCACCGTCAAGCTGACAGTGCGGTGGAAGCTATATACCTGCTTTGGACCAGTCGTACGTCTATCTTTCACAACGGGATCATGCTCCAGCCCATACCCTAGCGCAGAGAGCGGGGTCAGGTGATGAAAGGGAGGCGGTTGATTGGTTTGGCCAGACGGCAGCTTCAAACACACTCTGAGCTCGGGGGTTGAGCGGGGAATAGTCGCAACGCCGCCGCCATCAGGTAATCCCATTAGGAAGACAAGAACCATCAGATTCTTACCGCCTACTTCCGTCCGTATAGTCACTTTAATGACGTTTTAATGAAGCCTGTGTTGACTCAAACGAAATGTTATTAGTAGTACTCTAAAAATAAGAAGGGTATGTCTAAGCTGAAGTTCTTATGCTTGTCCATTCAACGCACCCTGTATATATAACCAAACAAAATAAGAAAGAAAAATAATCTTGATTCTACGCGTGAAGCTGGGAGACATAATGTACGCAGTGGAAGGACGAGTTTATTTCTCTCCTCATAATAAACTAATTTCCCTTAATAATTAATTGCCATTAATTAGTGGGACTAACTAAATGTAGTGCCGGCGCGACGTTTTTTTTTTTTTGCGTTTTTTCTTTTTTTAACGTCCAGCTCATCTTGAGAAATCGCCAGCCCTAAACACGGCGATAAAATGAAAAACCTTGGACTTTGCTGTAAAATGAGAAACCATTATATTCACGAGTATAGATCTTCAAATGAAAGTCGATACTCGTGAATAGACCATTTTCAAAACTCCGCGCCATCTAGTAGCTGCTGCAATAATCATCTGAGTACGCCATTGTTTGCGCGCACCGATCGAAAAGACCATTAGGATTTTATGGTCAATCAAACTTTCATGATTGCTTATTAGAAATACTTCATAAACCATCACACCTTCTTAATGCCCCATCACAACTCCTTGACTGCCCAACAGACCTTCTTGATGGTCCAACAGTCCTTCTTTATGGCCCATCAAACGTTTTTGGTGTTTCGACAGGCTTACTTGACGGTGTCTGTTGGATCATCAAACATGTATGATGGTGTCTGACAGACCATCAAATTATTTTGTTGGTAGCTCATAGACCATCAAAACGTTTCTCGCGGTGGCTGACGGACCGTCGAAACGTGTTGATGTTGCCTGGGTCAGACCACCAGGATATCTCGATAGACCATTAGAACGTCAGAAAAGCTGATAGTGCTTCTCCTGACATCTTTCGGTGGGGGGAAGAGCCTGACTATCTTCGGGAAATTCCAGCAGTGGCCGAGAGGGGACGCCAAGGATCTCACATGGTTGCGGACTCATGAATTGCATCCGGTGTGGAAAGCTGACAGCGGTGTGGCTCGATAACGAGGTGCTCGATCCGTAATTATTCGCCTCAAACATCTTCCTTGAATACTCGAAAAGTCACGAAGACACCTTCTTATAGACTCAGGTATGCTTTTGAACCATAGTTTTTTTGTTTTTTTTTCGAATTGTGTTCTGGTTTGTTGGAGAAAGAATTTGCTGATCTGCTTTGTATGTGAAGTAGATCATATGATCTAGGTAAACCATGTGGCAGAGAATGTTCTCAAAGACGCACTTTGCTCGGTCGTAAATTTTTTACTGAACGAACGTGTAGTGTGAACTAGATGCGTGCGAGAAGAAATGCTTTCAAATCCGCGAAGGCGGTAAGACGAGGCTTAACGGATTCTCGGCCCGACGAAACTTAGTGCATTGCCCGCTGTCGCACGATGCCGTCATGACAAGCATGGGGAATACGGACAGAGTGAAGATAGCCACGCAATAGACACCGCTAAAGTTGCACGCTGTGGAGTCTAGAACATAGCAAGTTGATTACGTGCATTTTCCCTTCCATTTTGCGTTTGCAGTCTTATAATTCAACGGCCAATAGTTCGTAATAGAAATAATGACACGCCATAAACAAATACAAACTTTGCTTTCAAGTTTCTACGGGAATTTCGGAAGATATTTCAAAACTTCGCTTGTTCTTTTCTAAAACAACGATGTGCACGAAGTAAAGTTCATATAGTCTGTAGTGCAATCTTTGTCTTCTTCCGACACATATGTGTGGTTAGAAATTCATACAAACCATCAAATGAACAGACCATCAAACCATTAGGCTGTCAGGCGCTTCAAAATATGACAGAAAATCAAACCCTCAAACCATGAAATCACCACATCATCACACCATCAGGCCGCAAACCATCAGACCATCGGTACATTGATGCCCCAAAATACGAAAGATGCTCAGCCTCATGAAGCACCAGAAATTTTCTGATGGTTATTTTTGATAGGGTTGGCACTTACTTTGAGCATCTATTGAACACGGTGGCTGCCTCAGCGTTCAGCGTGAACTTCGGACAGCCCGTATCGAAAACGAGTTAGCTGAATTAGCGTTAGGCGAGGACTGGAATCCAATTAATACACTTCGTGCCCAAGAGATAGTGACTGCCAATGTTGCTCGATGTGATTTTGAAAGAAAGATATTTTGGAGAAAACAATCCGGAAAATGGCAGCCTAACAATAGAGAATCGCTGAATTTCCAGCCAATGCTTCAAAAGACAGGTCATGTGAACTCGCGACAAACTATGCCTATTATTATAAATATGTCGTGGTCCTGTTAACGTTTAAGTTCGACTAGGTTCAACTTCTCCAGACTCTTAACGCGAAGTTGGACGAAATTTCGACTACCAGGTGCATGCCCAAATATTCAAAGCCTGCCGGTGTCACGTGGTGGGTGGAATGCAGTATTCATCAGAACTGTTGCTTCCCCTTAAGAAACTATCTTAATCTCTAAGATGTACGTACCAATTGATCTAATATCCTCCAACATCGCTAATTTTTCTGTAAAACTTCGAGCAACATAGAACATAAATTATTTTCTCTCCAAATTCGAAATTTTGGAATAGAGGTTGGGCAACACTGTTCAAAAGTCAAACCCTGTAAACATTTCTCCAAAAGTTCCAAGTTTCTCCAGACCAGTCGAACCTCAAGATTTGGCGTCAAACTTCGGGTTCCGCAAAAGTAAGATACATCCCTACCTCATACTGTGCACTTTACGGTGACGTGCGACGCCTGTTCAGCAGCTGCAGAAGGACGGTCATTTTTCCAGAGGTTCTGTTCCATACTGCATTTCGCTTCACGTACGGCCGCAGGCGTCTCTACAATCTACAGTCAACAATCAAGCAGCGTCAAAAGCGCATCGACATGGCGCTTGCAGTCTTTATGCGTTCGGTATTCCAGGCTAAACCCACTCACGCACAGTGATACCCATGATCCAGCGCTTTTTTGTTTTGTGCATGTTTTTTTTTAGTTGGTAATAACAAACACACAAAGAAGAGGAGCGCTGTGACAATGCACTTATGGCGTTTCTTCATAGCCTTCATCAGGCCATAGAGTCGTCGGCAGTCGGACTCGATGTGAAACAGGATACAATGGGCTGAAGGCCATGACGTCAACCACCTGCCGAGCGCAGCGTCTCGCAGAGCACGAGAATGATCACCCGACGCTGGACGCTGGGCATTCGAAGCTCGCGTTACAACAATAGAACCATTTCGAAGGTTACGCGCCGCTTGTTAGGAGGTCTAAATCATTGAACAAAGGCGAAAACAACCGACTCTGCGGAATGTGCAAGTTTAATCCCCCGAGAGATGGAGGGCGATGTGGAATTAGCGGCATTTATACCCCGCTACACGTTGGAGGTGTCTGCCGTGTCTGCGATTGTGAAAGAATTCCACAGCTTCTATATCATCCACATCTGCACGACCATTAGACCGATCTCGCAGCCAGTTCAATCGCGCCACCGCTGCCGCCATGCATCGTGGGAACTGTATGTAGTGTTCCGTACGCCCGACGACCCTGCTGAGGATCTGCGCGAGCAGAGCACGGGGCGGCAGAAGCTGTTTCGGGAACTGGCGCCTGCCTCCTGTGAACTACAGTTAAGGCAGCAACACGCATGCGTGAAACGCTTAGTGAGACCGATCTATTGCTTCGCTGCAGTAGGTGTTTAACGACTGGGTAACCGCTGACTATGACGTTTACAGTGGCGTTGGTTCTGGTTTCATTGACGCAAATAAGGTTAATGCCAGGCTATCAAATTTGACGCTGTTGGCTCAAAGAGTGGGATCATTCGAGCTTTCAATGTGGCTTTTACGCACACAATTCAATTTGTGATTCCAACTAAGGTTAAGGTGAACTATCAATAGTTCTAAAAATAGTTGGCTATTAGTACGAAAAGTACGAAAACGAAGGCAGGTCCCAAAAAGGAGATGACGACGGTTATGAACGGCAGGCAACGCGAGGCTCTGGGCAAAACATGATATAAAAAAGATTATACATAGATATGCATTCTCATACAGCATATTTAAAAATAAAAAATAGCGTTTGTTAGAATTTTTCTAAGCAGAACTGTTGTGTATTCCTGAGTTGAAATATCAGATTTCGCACTATATTATCAAATATCCGACTTTGCACCACAACAACAAAAAGATCTATATTTTTTTTTGTTGTTGTCTTGGAGATAGGGAAACACTCGCTGAAGACATTAAGCATCTTGGTTTCTCACGACTTCTTTTCACGCTTGTGTTTCTTTAATTACTCATGTGTCACACATTACCTTCCATAATTGAGACTGGTCAGTTGTTTTCAACCACTGATGATTCGCGAACCCCTTGATGATCGGCGGAGATCGTGGAGGTGAGGGGAAGGGAAAGTTATTGGTTAATTATGATAACGATTTAATGAGTGGCTATAACTAAGGGCTGACGTGAAGTGGACTTGGCTCATTGACATACACACTAAAACCTCAGCGAAAATCTTAACGCTTCTTCTCAATCGGATAAAAGACAACTTTTATAGTCGGGCTTGATTTACGGCACAGGGCTGCGCGCGGACCCCTAGAATGTCTTGGCGGACCCCCATTTGAGAACCACCAGTTTAGACCAATGACGGGTGAAGAAGAGAACTCTGTGGTTTTCTTTTTTTTCTGCTGATGACCATTAATAGCTGACCCCCCCCCCCCCTCCCCCCAAAAATATATAGCTAATGTAAAAACAATTAGGTTTGTTTGCCGATATGTGTTGCATGCTTTGTTCGGTTTTATTATGGCACATTTTGATAACGGTGGCTGGTAAATTATGTGCCCTTTGATATAAAAGACAACTTCACAATAAAGGAGCCGTCGGATAACGTGTAAATATATATTATTGAGTCAATAAATGCGAGCAAACATAGTCTCTTACTCTTCATTGACGCACATGCAGATTAATGTAGGACACATTAAGTAACTTTGATATGAAATTCTTCACTAGTAATTGTGAGGAGCTAGTTCAAGAGATCAGAAGTTATCCCTGGTGTTTCTTTTTGGTTTTTTTTTGTCTTTCGCCTTATGCAAGTGCGCTCCCCCTATCGGTCTGCCAGTTGTTGGGAGCAGAAAAATGATTTGTTAATGAAATGATTTCTCAATTGATAGAAAACACTCTGCTGAGGTTGCGATATCTGAAGAAGTGCTCACAGGGTCCCCGAGGTGAGGTTTGCCCTCTCTCGGACGACCATCCAGAGCTGGAAGCAGATCTTGGAGTAGGTGTAGCTCATGACCAGGGCGGGGACGCAGAGCACCAGGATGAGCATGTAGATCTCGAAGGAGCGCCACGTGGTCGGGTTGTCCTCGTCGCGCATGCACCAGTACGCCGTCCGGTGGAGCCCCATCTCCACGTGAACCTAAGGGCACGTGCGGAAAGCGGGGAACATTCGAGACGGAGGTCACCCACGCGAACAAACAGCTCTTGGTAAAAAAAAGTCATCACACTAAGGTCAGACACATCGCAGACACACTGCTCGTACAAGAGACAGTGTTCGCCACACACATGATGACGGATTTCTCTACGGACATGTTTTAAGCATTTTCGAAACATGTTAGCTTCGACCACGTGCATGGTTCGAACACGTCTGTTGACAGGTTTTAACAAAGACTGCGTTTGCGGGTTAGATTTTACATAAAAACTGTAACGCTCAAGTTTGACGAAAAAACGTTAGACGCGGGCCAAGGCAACATAAAAGTTAAAACATGCACAGCACACAGGAAGGAATGCACAAGCAAGAAAAGCCTATAGAAGGTAAACTAGACATGGTATTTTATATCTAATCGGAACCAGGCACAATGAAACGCAACCAGCAAGAGTTACCATGGCGGCCAGCGGGAGTCAAACCCTGGACCATGCTATCTACAGTCGGACGTCTTTGCTTGGAGTCCAGAGGAGGGAGTAAAGGAGAGCGCAAGCAGCTGGACTAAGTATGACTTGCCGCCGAACTTCGCCTGGGGTAGCACGCGACTGTCCTCAGCGAAATATACTTTGTCCAGCATACGTAGCCCCCAAACTTAAGCGCGAGACACATGCGCGAAAAAGCCATGCGATCCGACGTGCGAACCGCCGGAACGACGTCCGAGGGCGAGGGTTTTCGTCGCACCGGAGCGTCGGACGGGGGCTCCGTCCGGCGCCCGCATGCGTCAACTTGCCAGATATCGCCGCACGCACGGTCCGATTTTCGGAAGGCCGCAGTGGCCGCAGCCAATGAGCACGGATGGCGAAGGTCATGTTGTCAAGTGACTTTCGGACCGATCGGGCGAGGAGGCGCAATGTGGTTCGGGGAAGCGGATGTGGCGGTGCACGGTGCGTCACGCGCGGCGAGTCGTGGTTGTGAAGGAAACGGACGCCATCGAGTTTTCCCGCGCGCACAAAACGAGCTGCTGATTTCGAGCGCCAAAGCAAGCCTGCCTTCTGGGACCGATCGAGCCCGTCGAAACCCGAATATACTCCGTTTCACCTTCGATGGACAGCAGCGGACGCTACGAGCCATTCCAATGTCATGTAAGCTTCGGGAGAGACGCAGTTATGTGCGCAGTACGTAGTCACGTGATTTTTACGCAGTGCTCGTTTCTCTGAGATGGCTCTAAGGTCCGCTGCGGTCCTTCGCGATTAAGTGATTTTGAGCAGAAAAACAGCCTCAGGGAAAATCTTCACACACGCACACTTTAATAGAAGGTAATAAAAATATTATGTTTGTTTTAAAGCCAGAAAAACCAAGAAGGGCGAGGGAAGTATTTTAGTGTTCTAGACTAGGTGGCGCGAGCTACCGCCCGTTATAAATATAGCCATTAGCATCCATCCATCCATTTAGTAGAGGGACACCCGAAACTGGGCGGAGCCGAACGGAGCGACGCAACGACGCGTCGGAAACCATGTGTCGCGAACCGTCCTGTGCGGCGATTCGGAGCAGCCATATCTTCCCGACAGTTCGCACGCCGGATCGGACAGTTTTGACGCGCATGTGTCTCGCGCTTCAAGCGCGAAATACATGTACGGCGAAACCGTCCGATCCGACGTCCCACCAGGCAATACGACGGTCGGAGGCGAGGGTTTTCAACGCTCTCCTATGCTACGAAAACCCTCTCCCCCCAAGGCCATTCCGGCAGTCCGCACGTCGGGTCGGAAGATTTCCTCGTACATGTGTTTCGCGCTTTAGTCCAGCATACTTAGACTGCGGGTGGCCGTCGACGGAGAGTTATGCTTAACACAGAATGCACGCTTAGTCCGCAGACAACCGCCGGGGGCGAGTTACACTTAGTTCACAGGGAACTGTCGGCTACGAGTCATACTAAGTTCAGCATACTTAGACAGCACGTTACCGTCGGCAGTGAGCCCCCCTTGGTCTAGCGTAGTTCGTTCGCAGGGGACCTTCGGGGGCGAAGCATATATACTTAGTCAAGCATCAGGCCGTCGGTGACCGTTGGCGCACTCAGGTGTTTCGCGAACAACGAAGTGTACCCTGAACTCACGACATCACGGAGTGGATCAAAACGTACCAAGAGATGACACAGCGGGTGCGTGACATGGCAATCTCAGAGAGCAATCAATAAATAGCGTAGTGGGCGCAATAAACCTCCTCTCATCGAGACTACCTCATAAGGGGGTCCTCGCATACCAGGGGGATTCAAGGCCTTCTACGCCTCCACAACAAGAGTTAAACCCACTGAAAACTTCTAATTAAGGCATGCTTGCGACACACCCCACTCCCGGGTAAATTTAAGGTTGTCTAGATAATTCTGGTAAGCTTTATACAGGGTTCTTCAAACTTTTTGGCTAAGGGGTGGGATCGGGGATCTGTTGCCTGACTCGAGGGCCGGAAAATAAATAAGTAAATATGAATGTGAAAGAAGAGTAATAAATAGTGATAGATCAGCATTTAAACACATATTCGAATGCTAGAAAAAAATAAGAATTTAAAGAGGATGAAAATATATACTTTACTGTTAAATGTAATGTTTAGGTAATTACGACGTTACGCAATAGTTGGGGCTCAGAAACCTTACACGGCATAAATCAAAGCGTATAGAAACTTTGATTCATATGCGAAGGGCCGAAGACTAATGAAGATGAAAAATGTGTAATAGAAACGACACAGGACGCTAAGCTCAATATTCATCGGAATTAACGAAAAGGAATTTTAACATACGTAGCTACACGAGTATAAAACAGGGGGCTAAGAATGGTGGCGCTTGTGATGAGGATGTCGAATGAATAATAGGACGAGACGGCACGCCTTGTCGATAAACTAATTTCTCTTATGTTCTTTTTTTTTTTTCTGGTATCTTTGTATACGCCGTTGGTGCGCGTTGCGGCGTCGCTTCTTTACGCGCGCTTATTCTTGTGCCGGTAGCAGCGGGCGCGCTGAAAGTAAGCCGCAGGCCAGTCTTCAATGGAAGTACCGCGGCCAGCCACGGGCCGGCCGGAAAACCTCCGCTTCCAGACTTTGGCCCACCGGCCGGGGTTTGGAAGCCCCTGGCCTAGAGTGCGAGATGTGTGTCGTGTGTGCAGGGCACCCGAAATCACCCGACGTTTCCCTCGTCAAGCATGAAAAATTAAAACGCACACAGGGTGAGCTCGCCTGGTTTATAAGAACGATCGAGGGAACTTTAATTATACGATCGACGTGACAATACCATCAGGCGAGAAATAAACACGCCGCAGACCGTGATTACAGACTGTGTATGACGTATTTGCATTGTGGCCGCGGCTAACACTAATGTGGGACGTTTATTAAACAGTTAGCAAAAAGACTTTTTAAGTATATTTTAGGTTTACTAATAGCAGGCATGGGCAAAATACATGCAAATATGTATCGAAATGCAAATACAAAATACTTCGTCAAAAATGTATTTAATTACAAATCTCATTGCATTTCCAAAAAAGCATTTAAGTACAAGATACAAATACAACCAAATGTATTTGGTCTCCTCCAAATACTTTTCCAAATACATTCCTCAAAATTTGCGTGGGCGACTTCAGGGCACCTGCAACGAGTTTCTGGGTATCTCATTTTAATTTTGCATTGCACACTCGGGAGTTAGTGTGCGAGGCTTTAGTAACGTAATAGAAATATAATCACAATAAAAAAAATGTAATCAGCTTGGACGTAATAGGTGAAAAAAAGTAAAGAGCTTCAAGCAGCTTTCTTTGTCAATTACATTTTGGTATAGACCAACAAAGAACCGAGACGACCAAGACGCGCAGCACTAGCTAGATAATTTTTGATTGTTGTAACTCGCACCAGTTACAAAACTCTGGACGACCCGCGCATTTAGAATGTTCCAGGCAAGAATATGGATAGAAATCAGGCTGGAAAGCATCACAAGTTGTCACAGGCACTTATTTAGCCAGTCTGCCTGTGAACGTCAATTTCGTCACTATTCTTGCCCTGGACTAGCAACGTAATCACAAAGTCACTAAACGCTTGTGCTTGATTGGGAGACGCTGCATTCGGTGCAAAACGTAGTTTTCTTCCTGCTCTGGACAGTGACAATAAATATGAGGGATGTATTTTCGCCCACAAAATTGTATTTAATTACAACTGTATTTGAAATACCCACGTTTTAGTATTTAAATACACACGTCAAATACATTACCCAATTTGTAGTTAAATTCAAATGCAAAATACACAAAGTATTTGAAATACGTATTTCAAATACTTGTATTTCAAATACTGCCCATCCCTGACTAATAGTATGTTAAACATACATTATTAGAGTGGACACCGTAATTGCCAGACCGAGTTCGAAGCTCGGACCACACCACTAAAAGTGGAAATACACTAAACGTGTATTAAACGTATACAAATATATAACAGAAAATATACCTACAGCGCACTTTTTGTTTCGCAATTATAAAAAAAAAATGTATACTTAATTTGGATCGCTTATTACCACAAGAGACTTTCATTAATATTTTATTAAATCCTGAAGTGTTCTTTAGCTAAAGCTTCTAATCCCAGAAACTTGCGCGTCCGTCCGTTCGTGCATTTCCCCGTTATATTTATGAAGGACGTTGACGTCACGTGACCTAAGGACAAACCCGTTTCTTCGCTAAATGAAGCCTGGAAATGGACGCCACCTCACCGATACACCAATTTAATTTTCCCACTACATTTAATTGCGAAATGAATAAAATATGGTTTCCTTCACTCGCCGAAACGCCTGTAATTGTATTCGAAGAAAATGAAAGGGATTATTTTTAATATATTGCATTCCATGGATTATAGGACTTCAGATATAAAGTTTAGTGCCGTATTTTTGTACCGTTGCCTATGGCAAGCTTTCATATTATATTAATTGTTTTCAATGAGAAACGAACATACACATTTGATGTTTGACTACGGCGGTCTAAATACTATCCCTGTCAGATGGCCGACGAAAAACATTGTGTTCTTTCTCCTCTCTACTAATTTTCAATGAGTGATATGTTAATTATATAGATCTGGCACACAGCTCCGACAATCTTTCGAGTGCCTGATCTGACTAATACGTATAGATAATAGGGCAGACTGTCTTGAAACACTTGACATATAGCTAATTTTGCTGTCAAATGACATAATTTTCAGACGCTTTATATCTGTATTTTGTACGCTATTTTGAGGTATGGGTGGTATGTGTACCTAAAACTATTTTATTTGCTTTAAAGGGATACATAAAACGCAACGACATGATTGAGCAACAAAACAAAGAGGTGGCTCATATATAACGATGCCTGTGCTTTACATAAAAATCGAAGACAAGAAAAAAGTGCAATAGCATGGTGCAGAAAAAATAAAGACTGCTATATCGATCCATTAGTAGAAATGAGAAATATTGATGCAAAGTAGCGCAAGATATATACTGATGACTTGCATTAGCTAGCTCCCCTGCTTGTCTTTCTGACTGTGCACCCCTGTTGTTCTTGTCTTCTTGTGCGACGTTGCTGCCCCTAATGAATCACCAACCTCCCCAAGGGGTAATTTCGAAAAGTGGAAAACTTGTCTTAAAAAAGTTAACGTATCAACATTTGAATACTATGAAAAGTCTACAATTTCGCTAACTTTGTTATTTGACTATAAATAAAGTCGCGAGATTTGAAATGTGCAATCGTGTTAAGCTGCTCTGGGTGTTCAAATATAGGTGCTCTTCTGAGCTCTGGGGTCGCGCTGAATTTCAAAATAGGGCGGTCTTACATGCCACTAAACTTTGTGGGAAGCGCTTTTCCGATAAATTGATCACAGAAATTGAATTGATGTATAATTTACCTTTTTTGGAGAATTTTGTGCGCATGCCCGAACTTGAGGAGAGAGTAGGAAAGGCAAAGGCGCCATCTTTGCGGGCTCTCGTCGTACGCTGCCTGGCTTCGCTCGCATTGCTAGGCACGTCTGTCCGGCACTGTCGCAATGCCTCACCGCTGCTCGGCTGTTGGATGTACAAACATCATGAAAAGCACGCCAAACGTGAGCTTCTTTAGATTCCCGAAAGCTACCGCGCACCTCAAGAAGAGAGAAAAATGGATTCAAGCGCTGCGACGCCAGAACTCCGACGGGACGCCTTGGCAACCATCTGCGAACTCGCGTGTTTGCAGTGTCCACTTCATTGGAGGTTAGTTCATTCATATTTGTTTGAACTCAGGAGATACCCTTCATACTCCGTGCAGGCTAGTCATTCATAGCAAGGTTTTTGTTCCTGATTTATACGACGCAGGAGTATCTTCACGAGACCCGAATCACCCGGACTTCGCTCCCTCCTTGTTTACATACAAGCCGACACCTGCCTCCGCACCGAGTTTGCTTGCACGGTACAGCAGGGCAGCGAAGAAGCGGGACGCCAAGCCGTTGTCACGAAAAACAGATATTTTCACTGCCGCATAGTGTAAAGAGCAGGCCAGCTGTGTGCCTGGCATGTTCCGCTCAACCTGCAAAATTTATATTTACGCTTGAAAGTCATTAAAACATTGAATAAAAAAATGTCCCACTACAGAAATTTATATCAACACGTCTAGTGATATAAGTAGATCGATGACATAGGTTGGCCCTTTTTAGTTGCATGCTGAAGTACCACGAAAAAGACGAAAACGACAAATCTTGTTTTTTGTTTTGTTTTTTATATAACTTATCGCGTCGCGGATAAAATACGATCAAAGGACTGGCACACACGGATCTTGATACAAATATGCCGAAAGGATAGCGACTATGGGGCTCACGCCTTACAAATATTGACACCATCCTGTAATCCTTAAGATACATTATTACATCGCCAAGGGTTTTACCAAAGAAATAAACGCACACTGCAAGGCAGTCGCAATACGCTTGAACGATATCGGCGCTCTTGGAAAGCGATATCAGTTGCCTGTAATGTCCCGGCTTCATAGACGGCGCACACGTGCTCCTTACAAGGTGAACGGTGTGGTCGGGATCAAAGTTGTTCACCATGACCTTCTTGACGTAGGCTTTTTCTTTGAAGGCCCATCCGTTCCGGAGTTGTCTGCCAGTCCTTCGCCAAGTACCAGTCGACGCAGGCTGTGTTGACGACCGGTACCGATGCAGCATCGGCATTCCATCCGTCTTCAAAGCGTACAGACGGATAAGTCCGAAGTGTCGAAGACGGTTGCTTTACTCGATCCTCTGGGATCGTCATCAGCCAATTGTAGAGAACAACAGCCGGAAAACAGCGAGACAAACTTTCCACAACGAACGAACCAAAACGATCGCATCGAGGAAGCGAACGGGGTGACGGGAGGACGGACTGAGCCCGCAAACGTTTAGAATTATCTCCACGAGGGTGCGCCACGGACGCTTCAAAGAACTCTGAAAAAGGTCAATTATACAACAATTGTGGTGTTTCTGTAAAGTTTAGCGGGAACATACGTTCATCACTTTTGCGTAAAATATTTGCATTCTGCTTTCTTGAGAAAAACGTGTAGTACAATAAAATGCTTGCCCAACACCCATATGTGTAAAAAACTGGGAGTTTGTATGTGACGATAGCTTCTTTCGTGATCGAACGCCCCCCCCCCCCCCCCCCCCCCCTCCTCCCGACAGTACACCAGAGTAAGGCCTAACTTCGACAAAGTTTTGAAATTCTGGGATCCTTTGGGTATATGAGGGTTCGCTTCGAGGCGTTAGTCAGTGCCAAAGTACTTTTGTTTGGAATTTTCTACGACTTTTCTCTGGTTCACTGCAAAATTTGCAAATCGCCCGACATAAGCCCAAGATGCTATGCATAAACCAAACACCCAGACCCGAAGCCTAATTATGGTATCTGGAACGCGTGTCAAACTGATGTGTTTACCGCATAAAAAAAAAGAAAAAAAAGTGTTCTTTCAATTTCACACCGATGACGTCATACAGGTGTCTATAAAGGCGTCTGCTTTTATAGACACTTTATGGAGAAAAGTGAAAATAGTTTATGGAACGCTGAGATATAACTCGGCGTTTAGTCACCTACCATTGACGGGAAATTGGACCTAGAGCCTTCTGAAGGAAAATGGTAATATTAATAGGTGGTCAACGCCCCATCTACAATTTATCTGCAGTCGTGCCAAAAAAGTCAGTTTCTACCTCTTCATTCGTGCGGTTCCGTTTACACGATAACTTGCTAAATATATCATTCGCTCGTATCAATTTAGTGATTTAGATATTATTTATAAAATTCTCAAGAATTGTAATGTAAATGTCTAAACACGTTTGGCAAAACTAATCGTTACTTTGGAAGGAAAAGCTCACTACATTAAACAGACCATTAGTTTAGAAGTTCAATGTAACAAACCAACTTTAAGGAACAAAAAAGGCAAGCATAGGCAGAAAAAAGCTTGCTGCTTTAAAGCAAAGCTCCTGTGTTCGGAAAAGGGACATGAATCTCCCATCCACAGACCAGTCCCCTTCCTCCACAACGGAAAGGGAAGGGGGGGGGGGGGGGGGAGGAGGTCATTTCTTTCTTTTTTCTCCGGGCAGATGACGCCATTTTTAAGCGTGCCCGTGCAACACCTCCTAGATAAGAAGGACGGATGGCTGAATTATTAGCGTCCGCTAAAGAGGCAAAAGCGGACAATGATTGGACACGAGCGTTGCGGCAGCGTTCGGCAGGGACTCGTCGTCCATCAGGAACGACACGAACACTGAGGCAAGCAGTCGTCTCTTAGACGTCCATGCGCGCTAAAAAAATGGAGTCGCATGCAGGAAGGGGAACTATTTGAGGGTCAGGGTGTTGGCACGGTAGAACGCTCAGTACGATGGTTCCCATTACATTTGGTGTAGAGGGTCTTTATTTTAAATAAAATCCTGCGCTCACCTGGACGAATATTATGGGCAGTGCTGTGAGGAACGCCGAGAGCCAGATGAAGATGATGACTCTCCGTGCTTGGCTGAAGGTGCACAAATACCGGGACCGCACGGGATGGATAACCGCGTAGTACCTGCAAGAGCGGAAAACAATAAGTTGCAAAGTTCTTGTTGCGGTGATTGTACAGCGGAGATTGGCGAAATTTATCATATGGCTCTTTCTTCGCGTGCTGTGCAAACACACAGTGTTTGCGCGGGTATCATGATACGAACAGGCTGTTTCTTTTTATTCAAACAAATACAAATAAAGATGAGGTGAGGTCAATGTGGTACACGTTCCTCCCAAACAGGAACGAAGGTTCTTTCCTCGTTCCTTCTTAACCTTTTCCCGACTTCCCATTATAAGTTCCAGAGGGTTCGAAAGGAACGCGTTACCGTTATTTTTCTCAAATTGGAAATGTGTTTTCACGGTAACGCTACATTGGTGTATTTTACCAAAAATATTGTGCAGGATAGTTTCGGAGATAAAATGAAGCAAGTAAGTGAAAGTATCCAGAGGGAACTACGTTTCGAGTCGCCACGATCCTATTTGTTCAGTTCTTTGTTTTCGAATATCACTCGGACACTTCCCCATCCCTTAAAATCGGAGGTTCACATAGTCGATAATAAAAAGCTAAAATGCTTACTAAAATCGGGAAATTGCAAAGAATAAAAAAATCAAACAAGGAACGCCGTTTCGCTTGCCGTTTCCTCGAAAACGTAATAAGTACCCTTTCCCGTTTCTCAGGTGCAACATGAAACGGCGGCGTTTTTTTTTTGTTCCTCCTAGATGGAACGCGTTCCAGGGAACGTTCCTTCTAACTCCGTTTCGTACAGGTCTGGATGAAGGTTACACGACTGCGTACTTTACCATGTTTTTGTCAGTCTTGGCAGACATTAGATTAGAAAATAACGGGCACAGGGAGTGTGCTATTTAGCTAAATATATGTCAAACAACGTTTTTAAGTACGGATTTAGTGAGTCATGTTTCATTCCAGTATTGACAACGGTTGCTACCGGAGGCTAAAGCGATTTGAACACCTTTTGAAACGCCAATGTTTTTTGAGATATTCTTCGGTCGGTTATCGTGTTTTTGCGAAATTATTTAGAAACTCGACGCAGAAAAAGCGTCGGAACTCCCATTCAGACTAACGCGCCCGCCGGAGTGACATACTCGTTCAAGCACACGCTGCCGATTCGAAGAGGAGAATCGCGAAATGACTACGTCACAGTTCTACGCATAATCATGGGCGAAAGATTCTGCACTCTCTATGCGCCAAGATTCAGAATCAGGCGACAAAAACGCGAAAACTGGTGGAGGAATACCTCTAAACACATTGGCACTTCAAAAACTCTTTTTTCAGCTTTTCTTATACCATACAAACTGTCTGCAGAATCTATGAAAAACATGTTGGTTTGACGAGGCCTGGATCCCGCTACGGAACAGAAAGTCACTGAATAATCAAACACGTGTATATACGCTTTAATGAAGCAATAAAAAAAAAACACGCTTTATTAAAGAATACTATAAAGTTTCTCTTCGAGCCCTTTTATTTATCAGACTATCTACTCTTGCCTTTTGTTGTAAGAAGGGTTTTGAGGATAAGACATTTCCAACTTTTTCGGGTGAGCAATCCCAAAACGTTTAAACGCATCGAATTAAAAACTTTTTTTATTCAGATAATGCTTAATGAGAATAAGGTACTGGTTCTCGAAAACGCGTCTAGACAAATAAGTAATTAAACAACAACAAAAAAAATGTTTAGCAACAATACAAAAACAACAGCAACAACAACAACAACAACGTAAATCAGCATTCGAACGCTCGAGACACGGGCCTCGTGCACTAGCGCATTTGACGCCACTTGCAAGACAAACGCAAACACATCGAGGAGCTTTAAGGCCCGTGCACACTCTTGCAACCGAGTACGACCGAGAGAGACGAGACCTGTTGAAACCTCTTAAAATTTCTTAACTGCATTTCACAAGAGCGAAAGTTTTTCGGGATTTCCGAGGTCCAATGTGCGTAATACCTATAAGGAAGGCTCGTTTATAACGTTGACAAAAGTATTTCGAGCCAAGAAAGAAAGGATAATGCACGAGGGAAATAGAAAACATGCGGCACCGCCAAGTTTACACTGCAACCCATTATTAGATCGGGCCAGTGTGTCCTCTCGTTGTAAGAGATATGAAGTTGAACCAAGAACTGGGCATTCTGACTTTCCCGCGCGCTCTAGTCTCCTCCTCCTCCTCAATTTCTCTGCGCATAAAAATGTTCACGCATATATACCATCTAAGTGACGCTAAGTCTCGATAGGTCTAATTAACATAGTGTTGCGCCCGCTACCTAAAAAAGCAACAATATAATGGTACTCCTTATAGTACGTCAAAACGAACGCGTTACTTAGATTTGCTAAGTTCCTGCAGAAGTAAAAATATTTCGTTACCCTCACTTCTAAAATTTAACTAACGTTACTTCTGTGCAAGTTTGCAATACTTTGGATTTCAATGTCATGATTTATGAACATATGAACTCTGACAACTTAACTGTTAAAAAAAGGAAATGACAGTGAGCGCGCTGGCGAGGTGGTGTAAGTTTGCCCTTATGTAAAAGCACCTGAGACTGGGAGTAAGATATCCTTGAAACAACAGAAAGTAGAAGAGACGGGGAAGAAGGAGCTAATATAAATTGTATTCGTTTGTAATCAAATTTGTTGAATATAGCGATGTCCCGCTGGCGCGATTGCCTTTTAAAGATACCAAAAAAGCGAGTAATTTTACTCAACATTAATGAGTAACCTAGGTTAATAGACAATACCATAGATATAGTAAAATATTATTTGCCTCTTCGGTGATTTCAGAATTTAACTACTTAAGTCAATACGTTACTGAAAAAGAATGTATCCCTTTATAGTAACGTCAATACTTGTAATCCGTTACTTCCAACACTGCAATCACAGACATGAGCATGCAAAAATGTGGTTTCACTGTGTCAAAGAAAAGTAATACTCTATTCTGAAGCCTAACACAAGAAAGTTTTGCTTTCTACCCACTCTACCTGTAGACTTCCTTCTCCTGGAAATAAATAGATTGGAGCTTGTTCTTCTGGCTCTATTATAGGCACAAGTAACCTAAAACTGTCTCGAAGGTTGATGTTGTCGAAGACGACCTTTCTGGATTCGACGATGTTAGGCCACCACTAGAGCCTTGTGAGAGGCAGGTTCGTCCTATGGAGAGAACAGGCACAACAAATAAACAGTGGATGTTTTCTAACCTCTCGATGCTGAGGAAGGTGAGGTTGAGCACGGAGCAGATCATGGACACGTGCTGGACGTAGAGGATGAACTTGCACCCGAACTCTCCCAGCGTCCACGTGTACGAGAACAGCTGGCCAAACTGAAAGAAAAACACAAAAGGGTAATTTTTATGTGTTTAGGCACTTACTTAAGACATCAGTTCAGAGCGATGGGCTACTTTAAATTTAATCTCACTGACGTTATCTCTAGGGAGAGTCAGGACAACGTGCCTGACACTCTTATATTCCTAATTTACATTAACGATATTGCAACAGTCAATCAAATCATGCGTATATCTTTTGGCCGACGATTTTGTACTAGCTATATAGAAATATAACCAATCCCGATGATCACTTGGAACTTTAATGCGATATTGACCACGTAATTTATTGGTGCCGCAAATGGCAAATGGCCCTTTTTCAACCACCAAAGCCGTTTGGTGGATGAAAAACTCGTCAGAAGCTTACACAATCGACGTATACTATCGCGAACAATACGAGCTGAAAAAAGGCCTTCATTTTCATTTGGCGTACCTGCCACTATTTGTAAAACTTAGAAAATTTAGAAATAATATAGCTTGAGCAAACCGCAGACGTGAAAGAAAAAAAAAGAAAAATCCGAATTGGGTGTTTGCGTTTATTTAGGTCGCGGGGGCACACACCTCGACGATGTTAGCGCAATCAAACAATCGCCGGATTGCTAAGTTTGTTTTAGTTTATTCGCTGCTATAAAGAGTATTAACCTTGCGGAAACTTTTAATTAGGGACAGTGACCAAACTGGTACACTTCGGTACCCCTCGCAACTGTCTTCGACTAAGAGGCAGGAAAAGTGTCGGTGTCGTGATCGCCCTCAGAGTGTCGCGCACTTTTGACGCTACCCGAGTAACAAAATGTTCGCCTCGGATCCTGCAGCGTTCGTTCGGCTGCCATGGTGAGGCGCCTGGCTCGTTTATGCTCGGGGAAGCCGTCCAAGCGCACTTCTGTGCATAACGCAGTGTGTCTGCGATGTGAGGCTAACAAAAAAGTTGGCGGCTCATTCCGCGTAAAACATAGTTCGTGCAGCTATACTCTGAACACAGTGGCTTGGCGTCAGGAGTATCAGGGTGACCGAAGACACTGTTCTGGTTTCCACAGAAGACAATAGGCACTGACAGTTTGAAAAACGCAAAATATGGCGTATTACTTTTACTTTTTTTTTTGTCTTTGTGATTCGTCGCTCGGCGTTTTTATTGGCTGATGAAGCAATTTTAATGGCTATGGAGTGATAATTAGACGCTCAAAGATCACAGCGTCCTGCGTTTCTTACAGGAACTAAAAAAAGAAGCTTACATAAAATACGCCTTTTTATTTTTTACTAAAAAGCAAGCAGTATTTACGACGCTAGCAGCAATTTAGGTTGGATTTTTCCCCGGCTTGAGGCCCTGCCCATAGAACGGTGGCCTCGCCCATTACTAGTGGATTGGCTTGGCTGCTGAGCTGAACACGTTCAAAAGTCTAATGTCACCCTGTCGCGACGGTCCGGTGCGTCTAGCCTGCCGTATGACATCGTCGGGTAGTCGTGCCGGCAGGCGCGTGGCAGCGTACGGCGTCGTCTGCTATGCGGAGCGCCAGTTCGTCTGCTTCTTGCACAGGAGTTGCGATGATGCCAGAACCCCGAGCTCTTATTGGCCGATTGAAAACAAATAGTGGATAGACCTCAAAGCATTTAGCATTGATGCCTTGAGGCGCCAATCCAAGACCTCGAGGCATCTAACATTGAGGTCTACCCACCATCTTTTCAATCAAAGACAATCATAACTCGACGTCATTCTGACGTCACCGCCACTTTTGCGCAAAGAGCAGACGACTTGCTCCCCGCATTAGAACACACTCTACTACCACCCATGGCACTTTTACACTTGCGGATTCGCCGGCGGATCCTCGCAGGCGGAAAGTGGATTTTGGATCCGGGTGACGAAATCGATTCATGGCTGGCGAAATATCTGAATCAGTTCGGGACCCATATCCAGGTTGTACACCAGCGACGAGTCAATTCCGGCACCCGGATCTAAAATCTACTCTCCGACTGCTCAGATCCGCCATCGAATCCGCAAGTGTAAACGCTCCGTAAGACGCGGCCGTGAAAGCAGCTCGTCTGTGTCCGCCGTTTCCTATGTCCGTCTGCTATTCGCGTCTCTAGCTCGTTGCTCGCCCTCCCGCGGCGGAAATGGGAAACGCTCTGGTGAGGGACCCCCGGTTCTCCTTCTCAGAGGGCACGGCGAGACACTTTGCGATAATGGCTCGCGAACAGTGATTTCTGAATGCAAAACAACACGCTTCTTTGTCCTAACCTAGTAGCTACAGCCTGTATCGGACTGTATCTTACTATAGAGTTTTAGTATTGCGAATGGAAGCAAACGAAAACGCCGTGGGTTTGCGTTAGAGTTCCGGGCTTCACGCTGCGGATGTGCGTCGTTGCGCTGCGCCAATCCAAAACCGCAATTTCGGGCTACGCGCACGTAATGTGAAACACGCAACGTTAACGCAAACACACAGTGCTTGCGTTCGCTCGCATACGCAATAAAAAACTAACCTACTCTTACCCCGGTTTTCCCAACAACACGTGCTGCAGTGAGCGTGCAAGCGGGTTGGCGTTCCCTCGAACTTGAAAGGCTGATTTCGGCAAAACGACGGCGAGTAAAAATGAAAGAAAAGAGATCTTCTGCGAAGTTTCGTAAGTAAAATATAACAAAAACAAGAACAAAATCCGTTTTTTTTTCTTTTTTTTTTTAGGATGGGGGTGTTTTTGGTCTGGAAGCATTGGCGACGAATGTGGAAGTTTTGTCGCTTATCGAAAGCTGCGACTTGCATAGCACAAGAGACTTTAACCAGAATTAACGCAATTTTGCATGGATTTCTTAAACGATCTACAATGCTTTGTTTGATTTTATACTACTTTTTTATAACTTGTGAATTAAAACTGCTGCAATTGGCACCAGGGATGATACTTTGCCAACTTTCAGTTATCATAGTTGCTCGCGTGCTTTAAAGTAAATCATAAGCAGCAAGTTATTCTAGAGCTTGAAAAACTGCGTATTAAAATATCTTAATTGTTTCGTTATTCATGCGAATTGCGGTAATGTGGTCAGGCCACAATAAAGGTCACAATCACAAAACTACGCCAGCTAACCACAATCGCCTTTACGGAAATGTCTCATTTCGTTTCTGTTTCAGCGTATGAAAATCTCTGACATCGTTACCAAGATAGATACACACTGGATGCAATATAAACACCCTATGCCTCACGCGTTGCCTTAAAAACTATGATTTTATTTTTATTTTTTGTAGTGAGAACAGCTTTTATTAATTAATACGTTTTGTGAACATTTTCTAAACTCGTCTCCCATGGCATTATTTCTTAAAATTTGGATTGATTTGCTTATTATTGTGCTGGGAATAATGCTAAAGCAACTTATCATCTACTATGCCCCCAGAACATTAAGCCTTTGACGGTCGAGTTCCTCCCAACCAAAGAGATGTTTTATATGAGGCCCTGTTTCGTTTGCCAAGGAATAGTTTAAAAAAAAGGTCAATGCACAAGTTTTTTTTTTTTTTTTTTTTTTCAATCAGCAAACGGGAGCACGTACAGTAGTTGCAAACTTTTTTGCTTCAGAAGCGTCAAATGGAAATATTGAAGGCCTAAAAGTTGTCACGTTTCTTCCTTTCTGTTTTTTTTTTGGTTTTTGCACTACGAGTTTTCCTTTTCTACACCAGTTTCAGGTGTTAAACGACATGATTAGCTACCACCAGCTCGCCCCCCCCCCCCCTCCACCCCCTTCTGCGCACTCACACCCTCCTCACCTCTTTTCCACTCGGTGTCATATTGGCGCATCTGCTTCCGCGATATTCCAGCCGCTTCAGATTCCTAATCGGGGGTACTTTACAGAACTATTACATTGAATGATGAGTTTTCATTTTCCAAATTGTATTCCGAAAGGCGTTAAATGTCTGCCGGTATGAAAGGTGAGGATCACATATGCGAGCGTCTAATTTTAAGGCTATAGATAGCCCAGCAATGCGAAACAACGTGCGTATACAACGTTTTGTAGTTCACCAAAGACATAACAAATAGCAACACCTCCCGCAAATAGGCGCGCGCTTAAAAATGTGTGATCACCGCCGTACATATCTCCTGCTATGACCGCCAAAGGGTCCGCGGTTCATTATTTAACTTGACAAAAATGTGAGCCAGAAAAAGGAGAAAAAAACACAGAAATATCAACGCTAACATTTTCAACGAATACAATTTTTTTTTGCTACGTCTAAGGTGAATGAAAGACCCTGTCTTTAAAGGACTCTTCATTCTCTAAAATATTTTATGTGTCTGGAACTGACAGGTATTACACAAAATAAAGCTTTAGCGAACAATTTTTTTAGCTCGACATTTGAGCTCTGAGACACATCTTTAGTTAGGAGAGAAACCGAAATCAACACCTATATCGAGAAATTAAGTTCAAAATAGAAGTTAGCTTCGGTTTCGTTCGTGAATTAAAACGTGCCTCCTGGCGTAAATGTTACGCTAGACACCGTCTTTGTTTTCAGGATAAAGAGATTACCTGCTCGCATGTCGCCTTAGCTTCCTCATATAAGCGGAAATAATTTGTGTCGCTCAGTAAAGCCAACACATCGGAGAGGCTCAGCAACTGGCGTACCAGGAAGCATTTTCGACCTTCACTATAACTGCCATTTTGAAAAAAAAAAAAAAAAAAAGTGGCGCCACCTGTAGACAGTCAGAGTCGCGGTCTAAATCTGTCTGCGACGATCGCCCGAAGCGACCATGAAATGTCGTTCTAGCGTTTTATCATGCACGACCCACGGCCTAATACAAGCGTCTATCAGCATCTGCCAATCTGCGGTAAAAAGCGAAAAAAAAAAAAAGAAATAGAAAAATAAACAAAACAAATATGCAGTATTTTTAGCTTTTCTGCACCTGTTTTTTTTTTTTTTTTGTATGTCATCCGCGAACAAGGTGCGTGAGTATCATGGCGAGCAATTAAAGCCCGACCATTCGCTTTAGCAGGCCCGGTGCACTGCTCAAAACTCGAGAGCTAAGGCCTTTTG